ATGCCAGATATCAGTGTCTGGTTGCATGAGTGGCCCTACCCACTTTGATTGGTTGTCTGTTATACGTGGTCGAAGTTGATTTGTATGTCTCCTTGTGTAACATCCATCAGAGGTTAAAACTTTATAGTGCGCCGGCCCCAGAACTTCCTTTATCACTGCTTCTTTCCAACGATTCTCCTGATGATATACACGCATCCAAACAGAATCCCCTGTCTGGTAACAACGGCCTGCTTTTCCAACTTGCATCTTCGATTGTTGCTGGATGACCCTTTGTTGAATCTCTGGTTTTAGCAGATCCAACTTTGTCCTGAGTTCACGGCCTAACATAAGGCATGCTGGAGGTTATCCAGTGGTTGGATGAGGTGTTTTCCGATACTGTAGAAGGAACTCAGACAAATGATGTTCAGGTATCTTTCCTTCTGCTTTCAGACTTCTCAGAAAACCCTTTAACATTTGATCAAAACGTTCTGCTTGACCATTAGTAGCAGGATAATACGGTGCTGTACGATGATGCTGAATACCGTTTTCCTTGAGAAAAGCCTGAAATTGTCCAGAAACAACTGCGGTCCATTATCTGAAATAAGCACTCTGGGCAAGCCAAATGTTGCAAATAGTTTCTGTAATGCTTTAACAGTAGTTTCTGCAGTGGTCTGCGACATGAATAGAACTTCTGGCCATTTAGAATGTGCATCTACCACAATCAGATACATTTTATTTTCCACTGGTCCAGCAAAGTCTATGTGAATTCTCTGCCATGGTGATAGAGGCCAGGTCCAAGGTTGTATGGCACCAAGTGGCAAGTCATGCTGTGCTTGTGCACAACCAGTGCAACCTGAAACATAACAGGCAATATCCTCATCAATGGTTGTCCACCATACGTGACCTTGCCTTCTGCTTCATATGGACTATGCCAGGATGACCTGCATGTAAAATGTAAAGAATCTGTTGTTGTAACACAAAAGGAATAACCACCCTTTCTCCCCAGAAGCCATCTCGAATTGATAACTCCTTAGCTCTTGTTTGGAATGACTTGAGATGTATTGGAGTCTTTAGTGGCCAACCCTTGTGTACAAAAATCAGTATTTCCCTCAGCAAAGATTCCTTGGTTGTCTCCTGTGCAAATTCTCTGGCTGTTATCACCTCACTAAAATATATTGTAGATCTTTCTTTGGTAGTTAATTGTGAATCCATTTTCAATGGAAGTCTAGAGAATGCATCCGCATTAGAATGCAGAGCATTTGGACGATATTGTATCTGATACTGATAAGCCCCCAAATTCTCTGGCTGTTATCACCTCACTAAAATATATTGTAGATCTTTCTTTGGTAGTTAATTGTGAATCCATTTTCAATGGAAGTCTAGAGAATGCATCCGCATTAGAATGCAGAGCATTTGGACGATATTGTATCTGATACTGATAAGCCCCCAGAGTTAAGGCATACCTCTGAAGTCTTGCTGCTGTCGTGATTGAAATACCTTTCTGTGGGTTAAAAATTGTCAATAAAGGTTTATGGTCCGTAAACAGTGTGAAGGGTCGACCATATATATAAAGATGGAATTTCTTTACTGCCCTTACTATTGCCAGAGCCTCTTTATCTATTTGAGAATAGTTTTTTTCTGCAGCTGTAAGCGATCTAGAGGCAAAAGCCACTGGCCTGTCTGTCCCATCAGCCATGGAATGAGACAGGACTGCTCCCAGTCCGTAAGGTGATGCATCACAAGCAATGGAAACAGGCTTTTCCAAGTCGTAGTGTACTAAAAGATGTGAACTATGCACTATTTTTCTTTTGACTTATGGAAAGCTGAAGCACATTCTACTGTCCAGCGCCATTGTCACCATTACTCTCTAGAAGACGATGTAAAGGGTACAGGACATGAGCTAAATTTGGCAAAAAGCGGTTGTAATAATTTAACAGACCAAAATAGGACCTTAGTTGTGTCACATTTTGTGGAGTTGGAGCATCATGTAATGCCTTGACCTTCTCATGTGTTGTATGCAGCCCATGTTTGTCAATTATATGAGCACAAAATTCAAGATGATCGTGTATGAATTGGCATTTATCCAAATTCACTTTCAATCCATATTCCATAAGTCTTTGCAAAACTGCCTCTACATTCTGTTTATGTTCCTCCTCTGATTTACCCATCACCAGCATGTCATCTAACAGGCACTGTGTCCCAGGAATTCCAGCTAACAGCTTGTCCATTGTTCGCTGCCAGACAGCTGGTGCAGGTGAAATGCCAAAAACCATACGGTTATACCTGAATAGCCCCCGATGGGTATTAATCGTAAGTAGTGGTCGAGAACCTGGATGTACAGATAACTGTAGGTATGCATTTTTCAAGTCAATTTTGGTGAATTGCTGGCCACCTGCCAATGATGCAAAAATATAATCTACCCTAGGAAGGGGATACTTATCTATTTTAAGCTGTGTGTTAAGAGCCATGCGGAAATCCCCACAAATCCATTTCGTTTTCTCACAGGAACAATGGGCGAAGCCCACTCACTATTGTGAACCCAGGAGATGATATTCAGCTCCTCTAATCTCCTCAATTCTGCCTCCACTCCAGCCGTTAGAGCAAAAGGCACACTTCTTGCTTTAAAAAATTTCGGTGTTGCTCCTTCCTTTAATTCTAAGGAAACTTGTTCTCCCTTCACAGTCTCTAATTGGCCATCAAACACTGGTGCATACTTTTCCTGTAATTCCCTAATCCAATCAAGTTTGGTTTGATTTTCATTCAACACATGACATGGATTACTAAAGAGTGCTGATAATGCAATTTACAAAAGAGTGCTGATAATGCAATGATGCATTTACAAAAGAGTGCTAATAATGCAATTTACAAAAGACTGCTGATAATGGATATCCTGGTTGTATAAAGTCTGCCAGAATACCACAGTCCTGGAGGCAGAGAAGAGGCCAATACCCTTGGTAATAGAACGCTTCCCTGGGTGACTGAGCCAACTGTACCTGTACATCCACTGCATTTCAAGGGTGAGTGATTGCATAGTGATAATATATACTTACCAGCAAGCGCTCCACTCATTTACTGATGTTGGAGTCGTTATCAGGTCACACAGTATAAGATCTTTTTGTACAGTTCTGATGTGGTGTAAGGAACGAACCAATCCAGGTTTTGTAGCAGCTTATTCTATGTATCTTTCTATTATTCATTATTTGTTTGTAAGAGCCTCTTTTATCACAAATAGGTTCTATAACATGGTCTCCATACTGTAATGAATAACCCTTTGAATATTCAAATTCACTCAAAACAGCCAAGTTGTGACTAGTTACTCTGCCCACATTTTGCCATCAGACTTTAATTTGTTACAAATCAAAATTTAATGATTAAAACGGTTCATGAAGATTTTGTTCCTTTTCTATAAAAGTTTTTTTTTTCTTTATTATAAATAAATAAATTAAAAGAAAATATTTTTTTTTTGTTCTTTCAATGTAAAACAACTCCATGGCCCATTTACTACATAATTCAAACACCACAGCCACTACTGCATGGTTATTGTACCCAGGGCTGGATTAACATAGGGGCTGATGGAGCTGCAGCTCCAGGCCTATGCCTATGGAATTATTTTTGGCTACTCTTCACATGCTCTTGCTTAAGTATGGAAACTTAAGAGGGATGTGAACAAAACTAGTGTGGAGTTTGCACACTACTTGCTCCCAGACTGCACAAGGTTAGTAGAGGAATGGACCAGCAAGTGCTAGGGGACAGTCCTTAGAAAGTGTAGCTAGCGCATCATTAGATGCATTTATGCCAAGCTCAGGATGCTGTCTGCACAGTATGCCCTTGGTTGGTCATCTTGCATGATTGGCAGGGAGCCTGACGTGCATTCACGCCGGGCTGTCCATCTAATTCCTCGTGCAGACACGCTTCTTTTGGGGCATGTTTGTCCTTTTGTGTGGTTTTCGTAATGTAATTCACATCACTGGAACACCCTTTTACCCCGCCCACCAAAATCCTACTTAACTGGACACTGCTGTTAGGAGGTATGGATTTACTTGAAAGATGAACGTGAGAGATTAGCATAGGGTTTGCTTTTTCTGATAGCTATATCCTGTGAGTTTCCCTCCAGCACCATCTCCACTAGATACAAGATGCTTGGGAGGTATAACTGTTTTAGTGTTTTATGTCGATAATATTCTGCAATTAGGCCCATCATAATTGTCAGCACCAGGCCCAATGGGCTCTTAATATGGGCCTGCCTTTAGGGCATCCCTGATGTAAGATGTAAGAAATGACACTGTAGTGGCAGAAAAAGGTTGTGAGACAATTAATCAATGTGAAATGGCTTATATGTACGTAGTGAGGAATTTCGATGCAGCATAAACATAACTAACCCCATTCAACCCCCCCAATAACGACAGACAACTTAGTATGGATGAACAGGCCACAGCATTTATTTTAACATAAATAAATTACTGCATAACACATCCATAACTATTTATTAAATCTCTTCTTTCTGTAACCAAATTGTTAGAAATAAATAATCATAAATTAACATATATACATATATAACTCAACACATAGTGTTATACAGTGACCCAACCGTCCTTGCCAATAAACATACAGTGGTTCCTAATCACCACTTCCTCTCACCTCCCCCCTCGTCATAATCATATCCTTCCAATGCCCGCCATCAGCCGACCTTATCCACGCTCGATGGGCACGATACCTCAGGCAACCTAATGTTAACCCTTTGAAGCAGGGGAGGTTGAGACCTGCAAACATAATTAAACTTACTCCATCCTTAAACATAACCCCTCAAACTTAATTGGCAAGGACATACCCCCGCCACCCGACCCGCTGTTTTACCCCTAAATCAGTGGGGAACACCACCAAAACCACCCAGGGCGGGGGCGGGACCGGACCGTCAGGCTGGACGGTCGCAAGTCAGACCAGCTCCAGTAACACAATACATAATCACTGCTAAAAACGCTGAATACCATCTAAAACCTGACCAACCGCGAAGATACCCAGAACCGAGGGACTGCTGGACCCGGGGAGAGGCTGGCTCACTGAGCTTCAGTCCCCTGGGGGAGAAAAACATGTTGCCCCAACCCGGGCCTTCTCCGGCGGTGAGTGAGGCAGACGGCCGCTGCCTCACTATCCTGCACCACAGAACCAGACCAACGGTACAGACCGGCGCGGATCCGGCTCCGTTCCCCCCCCCTATGGACCGGGGGGGTGATCCCGGTCCTCACCCTGTGGCCCTGAATGTGACTCCGCGACTGAGGCTGAGAAGCCCAACTGCTGCCTCCAAAATGGCGGGCGTCTTGCACGCAGACAACAAGGGGTACACCTCCCACCTCCTCGTGATCACACCAAAAACAGCTCCCACATCCCGATCCCACCACATAGGGAAACAGCAAACACAGAGCCTACCCTTATCACCCAAGCCAGCAACTAGATGCATGGGCGACAGGAACAAGTGGGAGATTGCGGCTGCACCGGGAGGGCGGAACTCCTAACAGCAACCGTTCCCCGCCTGGGGTAACTGCGCCAGCTGCCCAGCGTGACACCTCTGCCGGAAGCACTCACTTACCACTCAGCCTATAACAGGATTACCCCGAAAGCGGCGTACTCCCATGGACAAAGCCCAGCTCTCACGCATGGCGGACATCAGCCTGCAGACAAGGGAAGATGGCAAGCGCCAAGGCTGCAACTCGAATGCACCCAAAGAACTATGCAGGACTCTATGAGGACAAAGCACACTCTGATGCCTGCTCTGATGGACACTTGCCCCCTACCACCTGAACACAGCAGAAGAGGTATCGGATAAAAGCGGGACTACCCCTGTCTGAGTGGCCTTGGGACCACCAGGATACCGATCTCCCCCACACGGAGGCAGCTCTGGGAACTACGATCCATCAGGGTGACAGTTGCCCCGCATTGTCTAACGCCACTAGTCCTTATAACATGACCTACCTAGACATAGTATAAAAGTTAATCTATAAGTTGTATCTACCAGTGACCGCAAGTTAGCGCAATGTATTCGGCACTCACAGCAATGTACACTCTTATTCCACACTACATCTTAACTGAAGTTACTGAACCTACTGTATAGCTACATAACTAACTAAGCCTGTTTACGTTTAAGAAATAGACAGAAAGAAATGCTAAAAGGTCTCAAAAGAGAAACAAAATTGAGACCTTAAGCATCACCTGGATATATATATATATATATATATATATATAGCATGTAGGGGTAGAACAAGTATGTAGGTGTGTATTCAATCTACCCTAAAGGTCAGGGAGATCATAAAGTGCAAAAATCCAAAATTATATATAATAAAAAAATGAATAAAGTAAGGTATATACAGAAAACTCGTGCCACTATATCTCATAAAGAGAGAGCAAACAGGAAAAAATCACCCTGTCAGTTGAAAGATGATACTCAGTACAAAATAAAGCTTTATTAGAAAAATAGGCTAACCTATGAGTATCAATCCTGGCAGTGTATCTATTCACATCTCATCCAAATTACTGGCTAGGTAACCCCAGAGAATACTGGGATTTAGGATATCATAATAACAAAGTATCAAACTATAAAGTGCAGGGGGGGGGGGCCCTGAGTCAAATCCTTCAGCTGAAGTATAAACTGAAGGATAAAAATCCCTAGGTCCCAGGACAGAAAATAAGTCCTATCAGTCAGAGAGAGAACGAAAATAAAAAGTTAGATAGCAGGGAGGAGGAGTAAGGAATAGAGAGATCAGTTCAAAATGAGCTGATAATGTCAATTATAAAGCCTCTCTCCCTGTTAAACTAACTAGATAGATATAGTGGTAAAGAGAAAAAGGGAAATACAATAAAAAAAAAGAAATAAATTTTGCTATAGAGCATAATTAGATCAAATGCTCCATTCCCATTTAGAAGAAGAAAAATAATGAGGTAGAAACGCCCGACGCGCGTTTCGGTGCTTGTATGCTGCACCGTCGTCAGGGTCCCAGCAGATGGGAAAGCTGCACCAACTCAGGGAGGAGTCGAACCCACCTCATACCCCTCGCACCGAGCCATCGAACCTCTGCTATGGAAGGCATGAAACCCAACCGCTCGCCTCCAGGCTGAACCGCCGCACGCTGCCCAGCCCAGTAAACATAAGATCCAAATCCTGGGGGGAACCAAAACTGCGGAAAGAAATTACGTCAGTAAACCATCCGGACGAACATAGGAAACATAACGTCTTGATTCCCAACTACCAATCCTCTGAACCACCTGCGCAGGCATGCCAAGCCTAGAGGCCTCAGTAGCCGTCCCAATACGGATCAAATGGCCCCCAAACTCCCTGCTATGCAATCCCATGGCTTCCAGCCCCAAACGAAACACTCTAATAAACTGGAAATGTGCCAGGAAACTACCATCTCCATGCACCAGGAGGGGCAGTGCAGGAGAAGGCCGCACGGCGCAATATTCCCCAAAGGACCAAACAGGACAAATGCCGGAATCAGGCACGGTCCCCAACCGGACCCACTTTCCCCTTCCCAAGACATCCGTCTTAGAGTGGCGGATCCTGAACGAGATCC